CTTGAGGAGGCGGCGAGACACAGCCACGTTTTGAGAACAAAGTGTTTTACAGAACATAAGATTTGCCACTTGTTGTTTTTTGCCTTGTATTGAGTCAGAACCACCAACAGTTCGTTGTTACAGATTAATATTACATAGTAGTGAAATTCTGAAACATTATGAATAAATAGAGAATCTTAAAGAGACCAATTCACACTAATAAAAAAAATATTCTGACCCAGAGCTCAAATACAACCTCCTTTTCTGAACTTTGCTCAGTGTTTTATTACCAGTGTAATTAACCCAGTTCTAGAAACATTCCTGTTTTGTAATTATTTGTTAGTGGAACTGGAAGACTGTTTTGGGTGGATGTGTGTGTGTGTGTGTGTGTGTGTGTGTGTTTTATTGTTGTATATGCTCAGGACTGTTTGTAGTTAGTCTCCACAGATTAAATGTTGACATGGCAATGTATGTGTTTATGTACCTAATACACACCTAAACAATGATTATTTTACATTATATAAATAACCTCATAAATAAATGAAGCCCTTACACAATGTGTAATAAAGGTGTGAAACCTACAGATTACAGAACCTACTTAAAAATATGAAGATTTTAGATGGAAGACCTCTGCCAAGATGTAAACAAAATAAAAATAAAAAATACTTTTAACACTCTTAAAAGAGAAATCATGGATAACATGCTAAATAATGACAACAGCAGTGGGATTTTTATCAAATATTTGCACCAAATTTCATGATTGCTCAATTCCCTATCATCTCAAACCTAAACAAGACGTTGTCTAGTCAAAACAAACAGGGTAATTCCTTGGTGTGGGTTTAGACTGAATGTTCGTGTGGAAGCGAGTGTTTATGTTTTTGGCAGATGTTTTGTTTTTCTGCAGGATAAACAGTACAGATACAAGCATGGAGAATAATTTGGGACCTCTATAGAGGGAGGAACTGACATTATAAACCATACAACTCCAGATCTCAAACTAATAGTAGCCAACAGCAATATTCATTGTCATTAACTGGGCCCAAAGCCTGAGCAATGTGTTGAGTAACTTTCAGCAATTTCTCTCTCTTTTTTTCTTTCACTCAAGGTCACACTCACAGCAGCAGGGCTTCAGCTCTCCCCCTCCTCCCATCTCACTCAGTATCTGCCTGCGAGAGTCTATCCTCATCTCACTCTGTCTGCCTGTAGAAGCCTGTCTCACTGCATCTGCCTCTGAAGACTTAAACCTCATCGTGGTCCGCCTGACCATATCTTGCTCTCATTTAAAGGGATAGTTCACACAAAAATAAAAATGCTGTCATAATTTACTCACCCTCACATCATTCCAAACCTGTATGACTTTCTTTATTTGGTTACTCTTTATTTTAAGGTATTCTTTTTACAGTGTAATTACACAAATAAGCACTGAGTAACATTAATTAACAACATCTAATTAGGGTTAGAGTTTGGTTTAAGGTTAGTTGCTTGTAATTACGCTATTACTACTATAGTAATTACATGTAATATGTATAAAGGACACAGTGAAATAACAAAAGAAGATATTTTATGGAACAAAAAGTATATTTTGAAGGATTTTGGTATAGCCAAACAATTTGGTGATCACTGACTTCCACTGTTTGGGAAAACAAATGTGGTTTGGAATGACGATGATTAAATGATAATAGAAATTACATTTTTGTATAAACTATCCCTTTAATATCATTGTTTTCCTACCGCGAAAGAAACAATAACATCTAAATAAGTAAAAAATATTATTTATTATTACTTAATCAACCTTAATATGTTAATTTATGACAACAAAACTACTTTATGTGGGTTAATGAAGAATGAAGAATTATCTCTTTATTATATTTGGAAAAAAGGCTGTGGATTGTCAGAGATGACATTGCAATCAGTGAGATTGTGATTCTATGGTTAAAATGTGTAGGCCTATTGCCTATTGTCTTAATCTGGGACAGAATCTAGGGCTAACCACAGGATAAACTAGTTAGACTGTCTTATCTGACTTAATAAGGTTAGAGTCCACATCATTTTTCCACCACATAGATGTGTAAGCACACTCTTACAGTTAATTGGAAACCCAATCATCTTTGGATGAAGCCACGAAAAACACATAATCTGTGCAATCTAAAAAATACCAATTGAAGGTTTTATGGCATCATATTTAGAATGACGATGACAGGACAATGTAGGATATATGTTATAGAATGGATGGCGTTTACAATACAGCGGAATTAACACACTGAAAATGTAAGAATCCAAGTAGTGCAAGTAGCCAGTGCACAATATGCTGTAACAGAATAAATAACAAACAGCAGTCTTACATTTCTCATAATACTTGTAGCTAATGCGTTTAAATATAATCCCGAAATGTATATCGAAGACCCAGAGCTGGAACCAGGAGGAAATGAAAACAGTGTTAAAATAATCTACAGGAAATAAATGTTATCTGAACAGACTGCAGAATGTTACTCAAGGGAAAAGTTCATGCAGTTCCATACACTAACAAAAATGGTAACATCTAAAATGAACTGTTTTATTGAAGTCAACAATATTATTTAATATTGTCGAATCAATCTAAACACATTTATTTATATCACTACAATTACTTTATATGTATTAAATGATGTGGAAATATGTCTTTAACGTAATAATTGCAGGTTACCACATTTTGCAGTGCAGCTGTATGACAATATGTCCTTCTGCAAGTGCAGGCGTGTCGATGCATGCTACTCTGTGTAGTGGAATGTGCAACAGCTTTGTTGATGTCTGAGTAGAATTTAGTTTGTAGACATCTGGTCGTAGATCAGTGCCTGTAAACCAACCTCTGTCTTGAATACCACATGAGAGCAAGCAGGAAATTACAGTATTTGTTTTATTTCCTCAAGGGTCTGAACGCAGAACCATGCATAAAAACTAAGGTTGGATCCCCCTCTTGTGGTATGTGAACTAAATAACAGCACAAAGCTCTGTAAATTTCCATTCTCTCTCAAAGTTGAAAGTAAGCAAATAATTACCAACAACAATGATACCCAATTTTGTCCTTGTAAGTAACCCCAGGAGAAAAAAACAAACTGTATAGGGAGAACTGGAATACATGGGAGTTGGTGCAGCTCCACCCAAAAGTCTAAACAGATAGGAACATTGAGTGGGAAGTAACAAAGAAAACAAGTTTGAAAGACTTAAAATTCTTTTTAACGAGTTGTACTCTCAGATTACGCCTGTTGTCACGAAGAACAAAAATGTGCCTATGAACCAAAAGACCGTGCTGTTCTATTATGTGAGCACTCATACAATGAGCCATTCCGGATATAACAAAACCCCCTGTGAGAGTTTTCATTACTTTTTATTTCAGAATGAAAAATAGTGCACCCGTGTCCGTTTGTGGAAAGAAAAAGCATACATACCTTTCATGCAAATAGTAGCTATATATTTATATATTATTATATTAATTTATTAGCTATGTATTTATTTATGTATGCGTGTGTGTGAGTGCGTGTATATATTTTTTAATCATTTCTTTTTTAACCAGCATCAAAGCCTACTATATCATCTGCAAGACTATGGCTACTGCAAGCGCTGTCTGCATTTCATTGATTCCTATAACGGCCAATTCTTGTTTTCCATTTGCTCCACTAGCAAACAAACAAAAGAAATAACAAACCATCGCTTCAGCAACTTTCCAAAAGTGAAGAAAAAATAAAACAACAACAGCAAGTAAATCTTACTTAAATGTGAGACAAATCCATAGCATCAAAGCCTACTATATCATCTGCAAGACTATGGCTACTGCAAGCGATGTCTGCATTTCATTGATTCATATAACGGCCAATTCTTGTTTTCCATTTGCTCCACTAGCAAACAAACAAAATAAATAACAAACCATCGCTTCAGCAACTTTCCAAAAGTGAAGAAAAAATAAAACAACAACAGCAAGTAAATCTTACTTAAATGTGAGACAAATCCATAAAACCCTGGACAGTTAACAGAAATGTTTAGGCTATTTTTAATTACTTTTGTTATCTAATAACAATGTACATAATATAACACAAAGTAATGTTATAGATGTAAATTATGATTTTAATGAAAATACAAAAAACGTAAACACTACGCTAATAACGTGAATAAAGTTATGGAGCATGCTTTGGCAATCTTTTTTTTTTTTAATGCCAAAATACTTCTTATAACAAGTACGTAACTATACAATATCAAGAACACTACAGGGCAAAATATCTCAAGAGTAATACAAGGAATAAAGTAAAATAAATAAATATAGGCTTCTAAAAAATAAATAACATAACATGAGCCAGAGGGATTATACAAGGTTAAACACTGAGAGCAATTTTTGACTTTTGAATTATTTTTTGTTTTTTATGCCCATCAAAGACAGAACATAAGAATTATAATCAACCAGAAAAATTTACAGTAGTAGGTTCTTACCCAAAAAATTACATTCGTGAATAAAAAGTTGCCAAGTATAATAAAAAGATTAACAGTATATTGAATACGGGAATTAAGAGTTATAATAAAAGAAAATAATATCACAAGTGTTAATACATATTCTGATATTTGTTTTTTTCTGAGAGATAGGTAGGCCTACATAACTCATTCCAAAAAGTTTTTTACACAATCACATTCACAAAAAAGATGTACAATTGTCTCTTCCATATCACAGGAAGTACTTTATATATATATATATAAAATATAACCTACAGCTTGCCCACTTTTTCTTAATATATTTTTAGTTTCATTAATAGCCTGAAGGCACTTTGTTTTCACACATATATATATATATATATATACTTTTTTTTTAATTAATTAATTAATTCATTATTTTTTTTTTGCATATACTTATTAAGTACACTTTTACAAGCGTAACATCTATGTAATCGCGTTGGCAATCTGAAAAGTGTTCACTGAAAGTTTTCATGCTTGCATTTTAAAGACGTATTTATGCAACTGCGCCCTCTTTAGGACGGAGGTGCTACGTGTAATATGTAAAAAAAACAAAAAACAAATTCAGACATGGCGGAAGGATTGCGAGATGTCTCTTTCAAAAAAGGTTGTACTGTTGATGTTTTAGCAATGAATGACGACTTTGTTTGAACGTAAAGGCGATGCGTTAGTCTGCAATTTATAAAATATTTCTTTTATTCATATTTTGCAGCAGCTTTTTCTTATAAACGCATGCTTATCGGCTTAACGCCGCTGCAGCCAACGACAATATATATTTTTCTCGGAAATGTTGGCTTAATGTAGAAGAGTTCATGAATACTAAAGCGATCATTCATTATGCTACACAAATAGATAAGCTGCAAAATGATGGCGGCTATGAAGATATTATATCACTATTGACAGACCTGAACAACGCATGTGTCACGTTAGAGCAGTTGCAGACTACAGACATTGTTAAGGTCCTTTATAAACTACTTAAGTTCTGTCCAGTTGTGAGTGCTAGAACAATAGCAAAGGGCTTGCTTTCAAAATGGAAGACGTTGTACAAGTTGTCATCTGTGCTGAAAAGTAATAACAAAAACGTGTGGGAGGACAAGGAACTAGACGCACATGACCTGCCTAATGTTGAGGTGTCCCACTTAAATGAAAAGGGGAATAAGAATCAAGCATTTACATGCAACACAGAACAACATGATATAACAAAGGATGTAAACCAGGACAAATGCGATACATGCTTAAATAAGCTGTCTCCTGAAAAGCCTTGTCCAGCAAAAGATGCTGCAGAATCTGTTCAGCTACATTGTGAGGAAGAGAGCTTCACTCTAGCTGCAGCATCACACAGTAGATCTGATACTTCAGTTCCTCATAACACCAATCAGCCCAGCGCTTCCTCTGACTCCATGGCATTGAGATCCAAATGTGTCCATCTGATTCTCCAGGCTCTTACTTTAAATCAGCAAATATATTCAGATGTTATGGACAAACACAAAGCCCTTGCTGAGGACATTGAAACACACGTTCATGCTCTTCACGGACGAAACCAGATTAAGTACAAGTCCTGCATGAGGAGCAAGGTGGCCAACCTAAAAAACCCAAAGAACCCTCACCTGTGCCAGGGCCTTATATCAGGACACCTGACTCCAGATGCATTCGCCCGGATGTCAGTGGAGGAAATGGCAGGGGAGGAACTTCGACAGCTCAGGGAAGGTTACACCACTATGGGCATCAGTGAGCATCAGCTACCAGAGGCAGTGGAAGGGACACCCACCAATAAAGTTAGCTGCAGGCGCTGTAAGGGTTTGGACTGCAGGGTGACGCAGATCTCACGAGGGACGCTCTTCTTGCCATCCTGGGTACGGAGTGGCAGTGCAGATGATGATTCAATGACTTTCATGACGTGTGCTAATTGTGGAGAGCAGTGGTACCACAGCAACTGGGTTTGCCTTTGAGCAAGTGTGTATGTATTTATAACTGTAATAAAGATGAATAGTAATATTTTTCAGTACTAACTGTCCGTTTTGTGCACAGTTAAACCAAGCAAAGATTTTTTTAGTGAGAATAACTTTCTTGTGGCCTTCAGTTTGATGCAGTGAACCCTCACAATGCATTCGACCCAAATGCATTGTGAGGGTTCACTGCACCAAACTGAAGGCCGCAAGAAAGTTATTGACCCAGAGGAGATACATACTTAAAATGCAAAGTTTTAAAATGTTTTGACCCAGAGGAGATACATTCCTAAACGCAACATTTTAAAATGCATAGTTTTCAAGTACAGGAACCACACGTTGCAAATGCACAAGGGCTATCAAATCACTTAAATTATTTTAAAGAGATATAACCATTAAATATGTTATACCTTTTGCTTTCAGGTTAATTTTGACCCGGGTGTAAACTGAGGCATTACATGTGATGTTATGCAGATTTTGTTTTGATCTATGAGATAGATTTTCAAAAATACTTTTGTAAAATCTGTTTAGCCTCTTTACCATATCTTACAAACACACATTTGGGACTGAATTATTGTTGATTAAATTGAATATGCACACCTATAAATGAACCATCGCATTAAAAAGTATAACCTTTTTCATCTGAAAGTCAAGGTTTTTATAATTCTAGTTATTTATGATGTTGTCTTGTTAGAAAATGTAGGTTTCATACATTTATAAATTTTGCTTTTAAGTAGTTGTGAGTTGCATCAAGGTAAAAGCGATTTAAGTTATTTAATCCATTGGTTTTGACTGAGTTGACTGGTAATTCAGATTATATGCCCTTACAAATTTCATATAATAATATATATTCATATTATGAAAAAACTTTGCATGAATATATGGTGCAATAATATATTTATTAAACATTTGTCACTTTCACCAACTTTATACATCATCATTTGTTAAATAATTTCTCTATACTCCATCTCTTAATAAAGGTTACTTAAACTGACTCGTACTACGATAATAATAACTATTGTATGGTAATTTCGAAATCCACTTCCTCTGTAATCTCTTTCAGAGATCATGAGTTTGATCTTTGCTACTCTATGTTTTTGGCCACAGTAAATGAATGTATGAGAACCAGTAAAGTTACTTTCAGATCACCCAAAAAAGGGGAAGCACAACCCATGCAGCATGAGCCAATTGTGTTCTTGTGTCTAGGCTCAGCAAACATGTGACAGAAAGTGTGCCACATGCAGAGAGCATGTGACCTGGTAATCTGCCCAAGATAGGGTCCAAGGCTGATTTCTTTGGATGCCTCAGTCCAAGGAATGTATTTTATGCACTCAGATATCTCACTCAACAATGTGGAGCATGAACACATTTGTAATGAAAATGACGTCTTCAACATGAAAAGTTATATTTTATACAGGCCAAAAATATATTTACAGGCTATATTGTTATTAGCCAGAATTAACTCTTGATATGTTTAGAATAATTACGTTTAACCTCATCTTGAACCTTATGTTAGATTTAGTGCTTTCATTAAAGTTATACAAAAAACACTAAACTGTTATATTACTATGGTATTTGTATAGCTGTTCGTTGCAACATTCCATGTTTTAGATATCCCATGCTGAGGCAAACATGAGTGTAATCTCTTAAGATTACATTCTCTTGCACAAATTCTAACCAGCTCTAAGCTTTATGATGTAATGACATGTTGATATAATGTTGTGTAGCCTACACGAGGGAATTTGTGCAACTAGCAGGTACAACATTTGGTTAGTGACTCGCTGATAACGCTGTCGTCAATCAGAGACGGTTAATAATTAATATCACATGCCAACCAAATATTAAGGGGAAAGGCACTTAAAAGAGAATATATTTAATTTACAGTTAACCTTTCAGCCATGGTTTTCTGTATCAGGTTGACCTCAGTTATGAAACTAACTTCATTCATTTCAGTGTTGTTTTATTAACTGATTTCATGTTACATGTCTTATAAATGAGTAGTGGGTCACATGAGCTTCAGTAGCTCGTTTGGCCAGCCCAGGGCGCCATGTCTTGGAGCCGCTCCATACACTGGAGATGCTGGTTGTACTTTACGGAATGGCGTTGCTAGCACAGCGCTTCAACACTCATTGCTGAATTCTCAACGGTAATATATTATTCTTACACTAACGGTATGTTTCTTTCGCAACACATGTTTTAAATGTACATTATACAATGTGTAGAAATTGCTAGGACCTTTAAAGCAATGATGGCGCTGTTAAGAGCGTCTCAGATCTGCCGGTTTGATCATGCGATTGAATGGAATGCCGCCACTTTATTTTTCTCCTACACTGAAGTGATGCCTTGCCACAACGTTACATTACTTTTTACGATGTGCTTAATGTCGAGAAAACAGTCGCATTGTAACAGTTCTTCAGCTTGTCATTGATTAACTTCGCAATCGAGTAAAAAATGGGCTTGACTTCAACCTACGTCGTATTCCAAGATGTTTTCTGCTGTAAAGCCATGAACAGCGCTGTCTGGTTGTGTAATGTTTGCTATAAAATAGCAGCCCAGCCTTACATTTCGTCTAGCTTTACATCGTAAATCTGTTATCTTCTAGCCTATAGTTTTTCAACATGTTTAGACTCATTCGTTGTCAGTCTCATGTTATTCTGAATTGAAAAAAAAAAGTTATAGGGATGTAATAAGGCCAACTTTGATTACAGTGATTCCTTACATTGTGAGTTTTATTATTTTCATATACTAAGTTATGAGGACAGGACAATCCATGAAGATGTGTCTCACATGATCAGCGCTTCCGGGACTCCAATGAATGGACTCCTGTCATGGGACATTTCTAAACAGAAATATTACTATTTATGTGAAGAACAATGTCTGGGGACAAAACTTTATTCTAAAGATACCATTAACATTGACCTGAGTCAACTGACTTTGTCATACTGGCATTAAAAGGTAGGTTATTTAGGCTAGTAGGTTACTCTGAAAATCACCACGAGGCATGTTTTCTAGAACCAGGCAGCCTGTACACATAACAGGTTTCCTCACCTTCCACAAAAGTCCTACTTAACGCTTTTCTATGGTAGGCCTACATTTAGTTCACTTCAAAGTGAGAAGACTGGCCTTTCAAAACTTGATAATTCTGATTTTTATTTCAGGTTTATGGGTGAGGTAACCTATGAAAGTTCTTGATCATGACCACCAAGTCGTCTTTGTTAAAGGTGATTCTGCTGGGGGATGGTGGTGTGGGAAAGTCCTCCCTCATGAACCGGTATGTCTCCAACAAGTTTGATTCCCATCTGTTCCACACAATCGGTGTAGAGTTCTTAAACAAAGAGCTGGAGGTGGATGGTCACACGGTCACTCTACAGATCTGGGACACAGCAGGCCAGGAGAGGTTCAGAAGTCTCCGAACACCCTTTTACCGTGGCTCCGACTGCTGTCTGCTTACGTTTAGTGTGGAGGATAATCAAAGTTTCTTGAACCTCAACAACTGGAAGAAAGAGTTTGCATACTACGCAGATGTCAGGGACCCAGATAAATTTTCGTTTGTTGTTCTAGGGAACAAAGTAGATGTGGCGGAGCGTCAGGTGTCAATGGAAGAAGCTCAAAGGTGGTGTCAAGAGAATGGTGGATATCCATACTTCGAAACAAGCGCAAAGGATGCCACTAATGTCTCAGCTGCATTTGAGGAAGCAGTTAGACGTGTGCTGTCATCTGAAGATCGCGCAGAACACCTGCTGCCCACAGACACTGTTGACTTGCGCAGGAAGCCACGGGCGAGCGGCTCATGCTGTTGATGCTGTGGTGGAATGATATGAACACAACTGAAACACTCTACTTTACTGTATGTTTTAGTGAAAAAAAATGCATACTCATCAGTTCTCCACAGCAGATGCCAGAAAAACATCTTGTGTGCAGTATGCATACTTTAGTACATAATGAGTTACAACATCTCAAACACTTGCTCTGAACAATAATTATAAATGAAGAGTCTTATAGAATTATATGCCTTGTTTAAACTTTAAAATAATCTCTTTGGGTCACATTCCTATGCCTTTGTTTCAAAGCACTGGATCACATTCTTGTGTGCTTTAGGTTGCCCAAACAGGGATCACTGAGACCCTTTAGCACTCACACTAGTTCTAATGCTGTTTACAGTTGAGAAATAAAAATCAGCTGTTACACTCATAAACACTAGAACAAATTCAAATGTGTTTTGTCTCATTTCCTGATGTTGTGCTACTTTAAGTGCCTTTAGCACTGGTTTCTTGTTTGTCTTATTTAACAGTCTTGCGTTATAAGATATTCTTTGGAATGTCTTTGAGTCATGAAGTGTGATTGTGTAGCATATTTGTAAATATATTTTGTATTAATTACCACTTTAAGTTCAACAGGCTTTGGGTCCCTTAACAGGGGTAACAATTCATTTTTTAAAATATGCTAGAATATAAAACCTGAGTAAGACATTTGAGGGATAATTTTATTTTACATGGACATAATTTCAGTGTCACAAAATGATTCTTATAAAAATCCTGCATGCTAATCCAAGTTTGCTACATTTGTGTGTATTAAACAATTGAAATATTGCTGAATTAAAAGTATTTGATTACAGATAAATTTTCGTTTGTTGTTCTAGGGAACAAAGTAGATGTGGCGGAGCGTCAGGTGTCAATGGAAGAAGCTCAAAGGTGGTGTCAAGAGAATGGTGGATATCCATACTTCGAAACAAGCGCAAAGGATGCCACTAATGTCTCAGCTGCATTTGAGGAAGCAGTTAGACGTGTGCTGTCATCTGAAGATCGCGCAGAACACCTGCTGCCCACAGACACTGTTGACCTGCGCAGGAAGCCACGGGCGAACGGCTCATGCTGTTGAAACACTCCTTATGTGTTAGCAAAAAATGCATACTCCATGCCAGAAAAACCTCCTAATTTCATAATTTTTGTCATTGCAGAGTTAAAACATCTTAAACACTGGTCTTGCTCTGCATAATGAACATAATTGAAGAGTCTCTCAGA